ATAGATATATATATATATCTTTACCTATATACACTGCCATTGGGTAAAGTTATTAAACAGCATGGGATAAATTTTCACTGTTATGCTGATGATACACAGTTATATTTGTCCATGAAACTCAATAAATCCAATCAGCTGCTTAGACTAAAAACATGTCTTAAAGACATAAAAACCAGGATGACCATTAATTTTCTGCTTTTACCTGTAAAATAACGGCAACGTCCTAAGTGAAAAATGTTATGAACATATATATTATTTTAAAGTAATTGTGAGTTTTCTTGTGTCACAAACAACAACTTTTAGTAGAACAGAGATTACGGGGCACAGAGTCCAAGCTTGATGTCCAAGTAAAGCAGTCCCCCACCTTAAACACACAAATTGTTTTGTTTAATCTCCCAACAAGCAGATTACACATTAATCTGTGAGGTGTCAGTGTTAACAGACGAGGTGTTCCCATTGAACCTGATAGATACTCCAGATTAAGACTAATCCCTGCTGCTTGTTGTTTTGTCTATTGATGTGTGTGATACAGGTTTTCTTTCCTGAACGTATTTTTTAACAAACTCATTGGCATCATGTGTTTTTAGCATTAAATGTAACCTATAATCTGACGTGTGAGTAAAACATAACAGGAAGTAGTCAGAAAAAAAATGGAGCCAAAGGCAAAAAAACAAAGAGATTATTGTGAAAAATTAATATAAATTTACAAATATATTGACAAGAAATCTTTGTTGTTTATCCAGTTTGTATTTTGCTGCCCTCCCTCTCAGCTTGGGCACATTTAGGAGTTTTTGTTTCTATGGTTACAATCGACTGACTCCCAGAGTAACTGGGCGGAGGATGAGCGGTTAGAGACATATCTCTCTCCTGGTGCTTTCTGGAACTTTTCCATTTGTTCGCCATCTTCGTTAAACCGTTTTATCATTTTGACCACATTCAAAAGGACCAGTAGCTGGAGCAGACCTGCCTCTGGATGATTCATGTGCTGCTGAGACACACGTGGGAGACAGTGATGGGTTCAGTGTCTTTCCCAGGGACACTGCAACATGCTGGTGGAATCAAACCCCCAACTCTCCCATCAGAGGACAGCTGCTCTAACCACTCATCCACAGCACGTAAATGTAAATAATGAATCTTCATACACCAAAGTTAGTCGTGGAGTTCCTCACGGTTCAGTGCTTGGACCATTATTCTTTACTTTATATATGCATCCATTAGGTAACGTTATTAAACAGCATGCGATACATTTTCATTGCTATGCTGATGATACACAATTATATTTGTCCAATGATACATTGTTTCACCACTTTGTACCCCCACCTCATACCCAGGCATGTCAAACTCAAGAGCCGTGGGCCAAATCTGGTCCCCAAAGACAATTTAAATGTGAAATTTTGTATCTTTTGTAATTTTTTTCTTAAAAAAAAACCCCTGATAAATACATCATTGAGTGTAGACTTCTCTTGCCAGCTGGCTAACTTTGAAGCCAGAAAGAAGGTTGGGTCATTCTATCGTTATTGATTCTGATGTGGTAAAAGCAACAGAACATCAAATAAGATGGATCAAACTCTTGTTCATGAACCTGCAACCAAGAAAATATATCTGGTATCAGACTCGAGTTAATGTATCAGCTGAAAAAGACCCGTAGCTCAGACACAGTTTTTAAATTTTGGCTACTTTTGGTAACTGAGTTCGACTCCACCCCTAACCAGAGGCGGCGCTAGACTTTTTTGCAAGGGGTGGCCAAGGTGTTTTTTAGGGGGGCACATACAAATAAATAGAACTGTCATATTTATAACAACCAGATCGGTAGTTACAAATATTATTTCCTGTTTTTCCAGTATTTTGCATCTTTCTAAGACTAAAATGTAAAAAGAGATACATGACCGATGTTAGAAAAGATATGGAGGGACATTAAAAAACAAACAAACAAAAAAAATAAAAAATCAAAACAACAAAAAACTGTAGAAACGTTTTGTCTCATCCTGAGGACTTTCTCAGTCTGAGGTGCTGTATTCAGCTCAGTCTCTTAAATAGCACCTTCTCAGAGTGGATCAACCAGTTTGCTGCTGACAACCAAAACCAGCTGATCACACGCTCAAGAAGGACCATCAGCCTAACAATGGATCATTAGCACACTGATGGCTGTTTACTATTCACAGAGGGCTGAGTGATACTAGCAATCACAGCATTGTAAGAGGGGGACAGTTGAACCCGGAGGCTCCACCCCTGTTTAACGATGGACGATTTCTTTTCACAAAGACGGCCTCCTTTACTCCTCTCTCAAACCATCGTTCCTCTCTGTCCAGGATGTGAACATCTTCATCCCTGAAAGAGTGACCGCTGGCCTGGAGATGAGTGTAGACCGCAGAGTCCTGGCCTGATGATGTTGATCTTCTGTGCTGGTCCATCCTTTTGGCCAGTGGTTGTTTTGTTTCCCCGATGTAAGACTGATCACCCTCCTGACACTGAACAGCATACACAACATTACTCTGTTTGTGCCGGGGGACTGGATCTTTGGGATGAACCAGACTTTAATGTATTTTGGGGTTTAAAAGCCACTGGGACGTTATGTTTAGAAAATAAACGTCTCAGTTTCTCTGATACTCCCTCAACATATGGAATGACCACTGGTCTGGGTCTGGGTTCCTCCTTTTCACCTGTTGGCTGACTGGAGTCCTGTTTGGGTTTCTTCTCTGCTTTCAGGAAGGCCCAGTTAGGATATCCACATTGCTCTAGAGCCTGTCTTGTGTGGGATTTCTCCTTCTGCCTGGCTCCTGAGCTAGTGGGGACGCTGTCTGCTCTGTGGTACAGAGTCCTGATGACTCCTAACTTGTGCTCCAAAGGGTGATGGGAGTCAAACTGCAAATACTGGTCTGTGTGGGTGGGTTT